GGCTTGTAGCCGCCGGGCCTCGTTTCGGAGTGGGGGGGGAGGGAAGAGAGCAGTGAGGCCCCCCGGCTCCCAAGCAGCGGCAGCGGTCAGGGAGTTCGCAGAGCGTTCCTTGCGCATGCGCAGGGGACGCTCTGTCACTTTTGGGGGGGTTTAAGTATCCCCTCGATATTTTTGGGGTTTTTTAGATTTTTGTGCACACCTGGGGACTGCCCCAAGTGTGCACAAAAATCTCCCTCCCCCCCAGGTGCCCCCGATGCGCGGATTTAGGTATCCGCACGCAGGGGGCGCCTTTTGGTATTAGATATATAGATAGGGCCTGAACCAGATGTATATCTTTGTCTGACCCAGGAGGACAGTTCTTCTGTTCTCTTTGGATATACATTCACTCACTGTGAGCAATGAGATTTCTGTGTAATTTTAGTAGTGGCAAAATTAATGGAAGTAACAACTTCATCCCAAAGGACTTTCTTCAGAACTTAGATCTACTGAATCAGTACATGCAAATAGGGTTGCTTCTGCCTTTTGGTCTGCCATGAGGTCTATGAATGGCCATTAAGAAAAGTGGATGAAATTCCCATGCTATCTCCTCTATCCAAAGTTCAGCATGACATATCTTGAAAGCACTAAAATAGGCAGAATTTTTATCACTCCTCCACTTTTCTTGCTCTTCCTGATGTACCCAGCACATGGTACATCATTACCCTGTTGCATCTCCCCAGTTCCTGTCATGGGTTGCAAACCATCAGGATGGGGAAACAGAGTGTTAAGGTGTCATATGTTGTCTCAAACTATGTGTTGCAATGAAGAGAAAGAAAGCTGACAAGGACAGGGCTACTCCTGCACATCAGTGGGTAGCCCTAGAGTCATATAATCCAGGTGCAAGGTCTGTCAGATACTGGTGGGGCCAACGCAATCTGGATTCCAGAGGGACAAATGTGGAAGCTAAAAAGGAATGCAAGGTGACAGCAGAAAGCCAAGTCATAGACTATTGTGCACATCCAACTACTGATATGCTCTGCACACACAGAATTAAGAACTCTGGGTAAAAGGAATGCCTTACCTTTCACATAAATAAAAGAACCAGAACATAACTCCTGCCTCTGCCACCAAGTTTCATCCAGAAGACAAATTAATTCTGTTCCCTCCTGCACAACAATTTACTTCCCATTCCCCCTGCACTTTCCTTCAAACAATTTTTCACAGCAATTTTCTGCCTTTGTCTTTATATGGACAATCTTTCAAACCTCTTTCCCCTCCCTCCGAGGGACTCCCCAAGAGTTCAGGTCTGGGTCTGTTTTCAGCACCAAACATGGATCTTGGTAGATGGGAAGAAAGGTACCCCTGAGCATGTACAAAATGCCTTTTCTTCACTACTGGACAACTGCTCGCCTATGTACACATTTGGAATTGAGGATAAGGTTGCTCCTGGACAGAAGTTAGAGCAGAGTTTTCATGATAAAAGCTATGCTCCCCCCCCCCCATCAAACAAAACAACTAGTTTCCTTTTCTGGCTACAGCTTCCATCACCCTGGAGACAAATTTCAAACTAAGTAGAAGCTTATAAACGCAGTAAAAAGAACACTTTTCCATTTTTTAATGTTCATCTTTCTAATTTCTTTTAAAATAAATTTGAAGTCTCTTTGCCTGTCCCAAAGAGCATGCACAGTTGTTTGTGTTGCCAGAAGATAAAGCCTATCCATCATGTTGTAGACATTGTTAGGATCTCATATTCCCATATGGTAAGAATGTCCAGCAATAGGAATGTATGTGTTAAGGGGTGCCATGTCTGACTGATGATGACCCTATGAACTAATGACCTCCAAAATGTTCAGTCATTAACAGCCTTGCTCAGGTCCTGCAAACTGAGGGCTGTGGCTTCCTCGACTGAGTCAATCCATCTCAGGTCTTCTTCTTTTCCTGCTGCCTTCAACTTTCCCTAGTGTTATTGTCTTTTCCAGTGACTCTTGTCTTCTCAGAATGTGACCAAAGTATGTTAGCCTCTGAGAAATTCATCAAATCCAAAGAATCCATCATTTTCCACCATCACTATTCATATCTTGGTTCAGAACTTCCTTTGTACTCCATAAGTTTTTGAAGCATGGCAGTAGGTCATTTAGATGTGAAGAATGGTTACAGGGAAGAATGGTTTCCCAAAATTATATTAACCTGTACAGGATAACTAAAAGATCTCCCTGTGACTCTGAACCCGGATATGTACCTAGTAAGAGTCCACAAGATATATGGGTACACCTTGACTGTAATGCAGAAGCATGTGAATTCTCTTGAAAAAATTTTAAAGCACCTGCCAAGCTCTTCCATTGAAATCAGGGGGTTTTCAAAGTACTTAACTCAGGATGGATTGTAGTCAGTCAGCTGCAGCAGCAGCAAAAGAAGAAGAGGAGGAGGAGGAGGAGGAGATTGGATTTATATCCCACCCTTCACTACCCCAAGGAGTCTCAGAGTGGTTTACAATCCCTTTCCCTTCCCCTCCCCACAACAAGCACCTTGTGAGGTAGGTGGGGCTGAGAGAGCTCTCTCAAGAACTGCCCTTGAGAGAACAGCTCTGAGAGAACTGTGACTGACCCAGGGTCACACCAGCAGCTGCATGTGGAGGAGTGGGGAATCAAACCCGGTTCTCTCATATTAGAGTCCATGCTCCTAACCACTACATCAAACTGGCTCTTTTTTAATGCGTTTCTGCACTAATTATACTTGACCTGCATTTGGAACAAATTTTAATCTTCAAAGTAAATATTGCTGTACTGTACTGAATGAATAATTTTTCCTATGCATCTGAAGTAAACTGCAGTCTTTTTATCGGAATTATTACATATTTCTACACATGGCACTATTATCTAGTCAGATCATGTAGTAGGCCCAACTGCTTCCAGAAGGTCTTGTTATAAATGCAAAGAAAGCCATCAAGATGAATATATGATCACATTTAATATGAAATGATACAGCCATAAAGTGTTTTCAGGTGGCGTCTGAGGAAAGTGATAGTTAAGGTTATGATTGATACAATAAAATGTGCATAAAAATGTATTCTAAAATTGCTTTGAACTGCCATAATTCCAAAGGAAAATGTTAATACTTTAAGCATAGACTTTTCCATTATTACACCAACATTCCAATAATTTGGCAACCACCCAACTTGTCAAAGCTTTCAACGTGTTTGGTCAAATGTTTTCCTGTTCATTCTTCGGTCAAGTATTTTATGCCAGATTGTGCTGCGTGTGGAAGAGATTATAAAAAGGAAGGTGTGAATGGTGGAAGAGGGGATTTGTTTGGGAGTGGTGTGGTTCATTATCACGGCCCCGTGCACTAACAACACTTATTCCCCATCTCCTGTCCCTGTCATGCAGCCTGTATGGTTTATAACACACCAGCAGTGATGGGGGGGGGTGGACCTCTCGGAGCTCCCCCTTCTCCCTTGCCAGAACACAACTATGCAGACATTGGGGTAGTGTTGCCAGGCCCTCCCTGGCCACTGGCAGGGGATGGAGGGATAGGGTTGCCAGATCCAGGATGGGAAACTCCTGGAGATTTGGGAGCGGAGTCTGGGGAGGACAGGGACCTCTGTAGGGTACAATGCCATAGAGTCCACCCTCCAAAGCATCCATTTTCTCCAGGGCAACTGATCTCTGGAGATGAGCTGCAATCCTGGAGGACCCCCAGGACCCCCATGGAGGCCGGCATCCCTACACTGGGGGAACTTTTTAGCCCATCCCAGTGAGAGTCACATGACAATAAGATTTAGCTCATCCCAGTGAGAGTCATATGACAATAAGATGCATCTACCCTATGTTCCCAAACTGGAGGAATGGAGGATTCAGGCTGGTTTTTTAGTCCCTACGTAGAATCCCTATAAAAGATCCCAGCGATGTAATAATGTTTTCTTTATGGGGCCCTATCATCTGAGCTGTTTGTTTGTTTGTTTATTAGATTTTTACCTCCCAGCAAGGGCGGCTCAGGGCTGCTTATACAAAGCGTCTGGCTGGGGTTTTCAACATTCTTAGCAGGACTGCGATTGTTAACTTGGCATAGCGAGTTGCACCAGGGCTCTGTGTAGGTATGGCTGGAGACAGATGGAGGAGGCTGTTTATATTCACGCCATTCTTTCAGCCGACATAAATTTATGCCACCTCTAGGTGCAGGAGCATGGTGAGAGCTTAGAGTGATGATCACAGTTTATCATAAACATTGCTAGGCTCTTAACTCCACGGGGACTGAGGCATTGTTGAAAATCACAGAGGGGCTCCCATTTTTCTACTTTATATTGAACTGAAGGACGTAATCTAGAGGGATCGTTCTTCCCTGCACTCACACAAAGCTAAATAACCTGTGTCAGCGCTAGGGAAAAAATGGAGTCCTAAGGAAATTTAAGATCAAGCTGAGAGGGGTGATGGTGATGGTGGGGAATGATGGATCCCTTTCCTTACAGATGAATGTGCACTTACCACGCACTGATTGCCTTTAGGAGAGCTCCAGCCCACCAATACAAATCCTTACAATGTGGAAAGTTTAATAGGGTGCAGCGAATTGAACACTCAGCTGGGTGAAGATCAGATCAGTGCAAGAGCAGATTGACATGGTGGCAAATGTGCCTGTGGATGCTTGCCATTGGATTAATGAGGCATCCTAGCTCACTTTCTACAAAATAAGGTTCCTGTTCTCTGGGGCTGTTGCCGTCCGCCAGTCTCTCTGCTGACTGGAAGCTTCAATATGCAGTTTACCACTGCTACCGCACTTTCCTTCCTGCTCTCTTGCTGCCTGTGGGTTGTGGAACCACGAGATACCACCTCCACTCTTACAGTGCCTAACGGATGGAGTGGGAGTATATGGGGACCAAAGCAGGTCTGCCCCACAGGCTATGCCCAAAAGTTTTCATTGAAGGTAATCTCTCTCTCTCTCTCTCCCCTCCCTCCCTCCCCCTCCTTCACGCTCAGTGCTGTATGCCCCAGCTGCACATGGGAATACTACCTTGGGGGGGATATTATTATTTTTTCCTACTCTTTATATTCTTCTTCAAAATGGGATATGTATTTCTTTTATTGAAAGTCTTTGCACTCCACTTTTCTTCCAATCAGATGGACTTAAAAGTGGCTTTTTTTTTTAAATAAGCTAAAACCTCATTTCACAAACATACAATAGCAAGGACAAGAAGAGAGAGAGCCAATCACCCCACTGTAGCAGTCTCCGGCCATGGAGAGCTCTGGTATTAAACTGCAGCTTGAGGAAGTGGCCCTAACCTGCATAGCCTAGGCTAGCTCAGTCTTGTCACATCTTGGAAGCTAAGCAAGACCGGCCCTGGATGGTGTTTGGAATCCTCAGTGTTCCCTCTAAGCTGAGTTAGTGTGAGCCAGCTCACAGTTTTTGAGCCTCCCGCTCACCCATTTTTGTCTCACATCAGGAAGGAGGGCTCCAGAGCAAACTAATTTATGCAGTAGCCAAATCGCTCACTCACAACTTTAATGCCGGTAGCTCACAAAGTAGAATTTTCGCTCACAAGACTCCACAGCTTAGCGGGAGCATTGGTTTGGATGGGAGGCCACCAAGAAATACCAGGTAGTGAAGTGGAGGCAGACAATGGTAAACCACTTCTGAATGTCTCTGGCCTTGAAAACCCTATAGGGTTGCCATAAGTCAGCTATGACTTGATGGCAACAACAACAACAAAGAAATTGCATTGTAGCTGAAGAAATGTGCATGCACATGAAAGCTTATACCATGAATAAAACTTTGTTAGTCTTAAAGGCGCCACTGGACTCAAACTTTGTTCTGCGGCTTCAGACCAACATGGCTACCCACTTGAATCTATCTTAAGGTATATTAGTGCACCCTTTTCAGGTCTTCTTTAACTAAACCTCAGGTAGTAGCAGTGGACCACATACTATTCAATAGTTAAAGATCTCACTTAAAACCTATCATGCAAGAGGCGTGTGTGTTTTGTTTGTTTATGTGTGCGTATGTTTTCAATTGGACACTCCCAATATCTGTGCATAAGAGATCCTACAAACTACTGTATTATACCTGGTATAACTGCTCAAAAGTGTCATTCTTGAATGCACAGCTATGAATTCTCTTTGGGATAGGAGAAGAAAATGATCTAAAATGCATTTTTAAATGAAATTGCAGACCTTCTGACTGAAAAGGCTAAGTTTTAAATGCAAATTAGGTGTTTATGCTGTTGGCTAGAAGCCAGGAGGGTGTGTCAAAAATAGGTAGAAGGAAAGTGAAGAAGAACAAAAAGCGAATTGTGTGGGAAGAAACAGAATGAATTCTTTCTCTGATTGAAGTCTACTGGCAGAGATGGAGTTGTCATTTGGGTCTCTAATTTGTGTGAAAGATATGACACTACACTAATCCCTACTTCTTAATTCTGTATGTGCAGAGCATATCGGTATTTTACACGCCTTACTGCTTCTATAATCTGGAGTCAGATGGCAGACTGTGTTTTTGTCCATGAAGAACAGTGCTGGGAGATATGTCCACTTAAAAGGAACAGAGTGTATATTTAGGAAATTATATGATGAGATAAACAATGCAATCCTAAGCAAAGTTAGGTAAAAGTAAAGGTTTCCCTTGCTTGAAAGCCAGTTGAATCCAACTCTAGAGTTGCGGTGCTCATCTCCGTTTCCAAGCCGCAGAGCCAGCGCTGTCCGAAGATGTTTCCGTGGTCATGTGCCGGCATGACTAGATGCTGAGGTGCACAGAACGCTGTTACCTTCCCACCAAAATGATACCTATTTATCTACTTGCAATTTCTTGCTTTCGAACTGCTAGATTGGCAGGAGCTGGAACCAGAGATGGGAGCTCACTCCATCATGCAGCACTCGGGTCTCAAACTGCTGAACTACCAACCTTCCAGCCTGCAGTTCCGCATCTTAACCACTGAGCCACCGCAGCTCCGATAGGCAGAGTTACCCCCCCCCCATTTGCATTAAAGTCAATAGGCTTAGAAGGGAGTAACTTTGCTTAGGACTGCACTGAAAAAGAGAGAAGTTTGAAGCTTTCAGCTACTTGGTGAAAAGGAAGAGTGAGAAAAACCAAGCAGCAAGCCCATAGTTGCAACTGGTAGACAAACCAAGAAATCCCATTTGGAGGGCCAACAACTGGGCATAGAGGCCAAAGCCTTCCCCTGATAAGATTATAAGAAGAGCCCTACTAGTCCATCTAGTCCAGCATCGTGTTTCACACAGTGGCCAGCCAGTTCCTCTGGAGAGCCAACAACAGGGCATAGAGGCTGAGGCCTTCATAAGAACACGAGAAGAGTCCTACTGGATTAGACCAGTGGTCCATCTAGTTCAGCATCCTGTCTCGCACAATGGCCAACCAGTTCCTCTGGAGGACCAACAACAGGGCGTAGAGGCTGAGGCCTTCCCCTGATGTTGCCTCCTGGTTCTGGAATTCAGAGGTTGACTCCCTTTCAACATGGAGGTTCCCCTCAGTCACCATGGCTAGTAGCCACTGAGAGACCTATCCTCCACAAATCTATCTAATCCCCTTTTAAAGCTGTTTATTCCTGTGGCCATCACTGCATTTTCTGGCTGTGAATTCCACATTTTCATCACTTTCTGTGTAAAGAAGTATATCCTTTTGTCTGTCCTGAATCTACTGCCCATCAGCTTCATTTGATGCCCTTGAGTCCTAGTGTTTTGAGAGAGGTAGAAAAAGTTCTCTTTGTCAACTCCCTCTACTCCATGCATAATTTATAAATCTCTGTCATGTCCAGAGGTCATTTTGGGGGGGATCGCGGGGGATCGCAGTTCCCCCGGGTGAGGTACGGGGGGGCACATGACGAAGCCCCGCCCCCTGCTTCCAGCCGCCCTGCTTCCGGCCCTCATTCAGCCAGGAGGAGGCAGGAGAAGAGGGAGAGTAAATTGCTTCCTCCCTGCCTCTCCCCACCCCTGCCTGCCTGGGGCCAGGGAGGGCCTTCGCGGGGCTTCCTTGCACTCCCACCGGCCTTGCAGGTCCACCGCCGGGCCCCTCATGGGGCTCGGCAGTGGAGCTGCAAGGCCGGTGGCGGCGGTCGGGGCTGTTGGGGGCGGGGTGTGTGGCCTTATGACACACTTCTGGTGATGTCAGGGGGTGTGGCCTTATCACACACTTCTGGTGATGTCAGGGGGTGTGGCATATGCTAATGAGTTATGCTAATGAGTTCCCCTAGCTCTTTTTCTATGAAACGACCCCTGGTCATGTCTCCCCTTAGTAATCTCTTTTCTAAACTGAAAAGTCCCAGGCTGTTCGATCTTTCCTCATAGGGAAGTTGTTTCAACCCCCTAATCATCTTAGTTGCCATCTTCTGTACTTTTTCCAGATCTGCAATGTCATTTTTTCAATATGGTGGCCAGAACTGTACTAAATGAGGCTGCACCATGGATCTATACAGGGACATTATAATATCTGCCATTATAAGAACAAAGGACCATAAAATGCCCTTTAAATGGTCTTTCCCATGTATCTGATTCTTGAAAGTAGAGTGTATATAAACATGGAGACTCTGTTTTACTAATAAGTTCCTCTCTGTGTTTCCGGTCTACATTGTGTCATGTTCCCAGGTGGAGCCCTACCAGGGAATCTGGCGTGATGATACCTCTCTAAATGGCATTCGCCTACATTGCTCAGATGGCACAATCATCTCATCTTCAGTGGGAGAGTGAGTAATTTGGTATTCTCAGCTTTACCATATTCTCCCCTCTAATAGCATATCATTCCTTCTTTCTCTCCTGTTTCTACTGCCCTTCCCTAGTCATGGAACAAAGCAGAAAAGAACAGTAGAAATTTTATCCCTAACTGAAGGCCAGTCTAGAGGAGGTGGGGCTCCATTATGATGTATTCAGTGTCTATAAACATCTTCCAGTAGATTACACAGGATTCAACTGCTGTACATTTTCCCTGTAACCAGCTTCAGTGGGGGAATTGACAATGGGAAAGTGTCACGCAGGTTGAGAGGTTAATGCTGCTTCACCCTGCTGTAATCCCAGTCCAATCTGGGTTAATTTTCAGCTGCTATTATGAAACGTAAAGGAAGATGTGATACTGGATCACCTAGTTTGGCCCTGAATAGGTACAGAAGTGGAATACTTTGCGGCCAATGAGGTCATCACCTTTTGTGGCGAATTAGGTCACCACCATCTTGCTCCTGTGCTTTGGAGAGCAGCGTCCATTGCCATTTATCATTCCATTGCTTAAGGTGGCTCTCAATCATAAAAGAAAAGCAGGCATACAATAAAAACACATAAATGGAATGATCAAAATCAGTAATAAAAACATACCAATAAAACCCAGCAATAAATCATAAAAGTACATAAAATGGGAGTGGTCTAAAATGAACAGACCATAAGTCAGCTAAAACAAAATGGAACCCCTTAGTTGAAAGCCTGAGTAGAAAGATTTAGGGGTGGTGGGCTTGGTACCTAAAGGAATCGTTGTAGGTGCCAGCTGAGCCTCAAGAGGGAAGGCATTCCATGGCAAGGTGTCATCACTTGGAAAAAAGCCCTGGTTCTATTTGTCCATCCATGCCTCTGCAAGCAGGGCACAGAGGGCAGGGTTAGAGGAGAGGATCTCAGTTAGAGGGCTGGACAATATGGGAAGAGCAGTCCTTCAAGTACCTCAGCCCAAGATTCGTAGGTAAGAAACAGCTATTTGAATTCTGCCCAGAAACACTTGGAAAGTCAATGTAAATCTTCCAAGGCTGGGGTTATTCAATACCTGTATCCAGCTCCTGATGATAACCTCAAATATACAAATTCCACTAGTAGAAAACACCATCAAAGATTGCCAAAACAATATATTAAGCAATTATAAAGTTGGCAGTGTCACAACAACATTAATGCATACTGTAACTATAATAAGGCATAAGATACAATATTTCCTCCTTTGAAGATAAGACATAAAGTCCATGTACTCAGTGTAACTTGATAACTTGATAGGAGGAGTCCACATAGTCATAACATTTTCCAAACGGGCTGTTTAGAAAATGTACTCAGTTATACTGAGTACATGGACTTTATGTCTTATCTTCAAAGGAGGAAATATTGTATCTTATGCCTTATTATAGTTACAGTATGCATTAATGTTGTTGTGACACTGCCAACTTTATAATTGCTTAATATATTGTTTTGGCAATTTTTGATGGTGTCTTCTACTAGTGAAATTTGTATATTTGGGACTCCTGTGACACTGGTCTTTTTCCCTTGTTGTTTGGATTTCCTGATGATAACCTGGCTGCTGCTTTCTGGATCAACTGAAGTTTCCAGACAGATTTCAGAGTAGCCCCACCTATGATTCCCATCCTTCAGGTGAAGGCTGGAGATCTTCCAGAATTACAACTTATCTCCAAACTACAGAGGTCAGTTTACCTGGAGAAAACAGCTGCTTTTGATGGTGGACACTATGGCACTATACCTCGCTAAGGTCCCTCCCCACCTCAAAACCCTAGCTCCACCCACAAATCTTCAGGAATTTCCCAACCTGGAGCTGGCTATAGGGTTGCCAAGTCCAAATAACCTTACCTCGGGAGAGTTCTGCGCTGTCCCAAGAGTCTGTGCATGCGCACTTTGCGCACGCGCCGCCGCAAGGACGCCACCCGGAAGTGAAGTCATTGCGTTGGCACGTTGGGGGTGGGGCCACTAGGATTTGAGGGGAAACCATAGAGTTTTCCCTCAAATCATAGAGTGTCCCGTCCCCAACGTAGCCAGAGTGATGATGTCACCTATGGGTGACATCATCACACTGGGGACGTGTGCCAGAAGGGGGTGGAGTTCCCCCTGGGGCCCGATTTGCTGGCGTTGGGTAACGGGCCTCTGGGGTGGGGGTTTACCCGCCCCCCGGGGGGGCTTGGCAAGCCTAGCTGGCTACCCTAAAAGAAAAGCCTATACTAATCTAACCTGCATGTGAGCAGAACATGGCCACATCGTGCCCTTCAAGGAAAAGCCATAGCTGATGTATCAGCTGAAGCTGATAAAAAGGTGCTGTATTCCATGGAGGAGACCCGAGCCTCCAAACATAGGCCAAAACCCAGCAGCAGCCCCAAGGGATGTACCTGCTCCTTAAGGGGAAGTGCAACCTTCTATCATTTCCAGGCCAGGCTAACTCCTCAGTTCTCAAGCAGCTTTTTCATTGACCAACAAAAGCTCAGTTTTCTCTGGACTGAGCTTCATACTTTTAATTGCCAGTCCAGCCACAGCAGTGTCCTGGGACTCTGTTGATGATAGGCCACATGAGGAGGCCATTATTCACAATGTGACCTCATTCTAGTTCAAGGTCATAATTGTCGTCCAAGATTGTGGGGCCGTTTCACACATTTCCTCCTGGATTATGCTGACACAGAAAACTTGCTGTCTTATTCCCAAACACTGTATTTCAGATTCTAGAAAAGACACTCTTAAAGCAGGAGCCTTTTAGTTATGTTAAGAAAATGAGATTAATTCTTTGAGGACATGAAATCGAATAAAATGCTTTTTTTATTGACAGAGCACTATGTAAACACCTTCTTTGGGATTAGGAGTGCCTAAACTCTCAGAGTAAAAAAGAGCAAGAGTCCAGAAGCACCTTAAAGATGAACAAAATTTGTGGCAGGTATTTGAAAAAGTGAGCTCTGTGTCACAAAAGCTCATACCCTGCCACAAATTTCGTTAGTCTTTAAGGTGCTACTGGACTCCTGCTTTTTTCTATTGCTACAGACAGACTCATACGGCTACCCATCCTGAACTCTCACAGGTTGGGACTATGCCATGATTGCCAGTTGTGAATATGAGAAGAAGAAGAGATCGGATTTATACCCCACCCTTCACTACCCGAAGGAGTCTCAGAGTGGCTTACAATCCCTTTCCCTTCCCCTCCCCACAACAGACACCCTGTGAGGTAGGTGGGGCTGAGAGAACTCTTTCGAGAACTGCTCCTGAGAGAACAGCTCTGAAAGAACTTGTAACTGACCCAAGGTCACACCAGAAGCTGCATGTGGAGGAGTGGGGAATCAAACCCGGCTCTCTCATATTAGAGTCCACGCTCTTAACCACTACACCAAACCTATTTATCGATTATTGGATCAGCTATTCGCAGAGCTGTTTGTCAAGGTTCACTGGGCAGACCATCAGACAGAACAATCCATTTGCTTCGCTGAGTGGATCAGCAAAAGTAGGATCCTCTCCTGTCACAAATTAGCACAGCCCCAGTGTGGCTCTCAATTCTAACCCCTTCTCTAGCATTACCTGACCAGAATGTTTGCAGATCTGGAAGACAAAAGGAACAGGTTTCTGGCTGTAAATGCCCTGTACATCTCTGACTGTTTCACAGGGATGCTTGGGGAAAGAAGGGGACTGGTTTCAGGTTAAGTATAGTGAAGTGTGGCATCACTACCTGTTACCAGGAGCTAATCCCCATATTTCCTCAATTTTTTGTAACGTACTGCAGGGAGCAGGGCAGAGGGTGTACTAGCAAATTATGACTGTGAAAAGTTAATGTGTAGAAATAATGAGGGAGGAAGAAAGGGAGGATGGCTGTAAAAGGAGCAGAAGCCGCAAAGTTTTTACTGCAGAAGATTAAAATCTCTATGAAGGAAGGGGCCGTACAATACATGCCTGGATAGTATACGGAAGAGTAACTTGGGAGCAGACTGAGCAAAAAAATAGAAGCAAAAGCAAAAGCAGGTTCACAACTGAGTAACTGAGTTTACAGAAATGGTGGGCTTTAGGATAGGTATTTTAAGGAGTTGAAGAACAAAGCTTAGCGAGAATATGGCTGATATCTTTTCTAGGCTTGCCAGCCTCCCGGTGGGGCCTGGAGATCTCCTGGAATTCTAACCAATCTCCAGATTATACAGATCAGTTCACCTGAAGAAAATGCTGCTTTAGAGGGTGAACTATATGGCATTATACCCTTCAGAGGTCCCCCCACTCCACAAACCCCACCCTACCCCACCCCTCAAATCTCCAGGAATTTCCCAACCTAGAGTAGGCAACCATTACATCTTTCCACTTGGACACCCGTGTGGTGTAGTAGTTAAGAGCAGAAGACTCTAATCTGGAGAACTGGGTTTGATTCCCCACTCCTCCACGTGAAACCTGCTGGGTGACCTTGGGTCAGTCACAGTTCTCTCAGAGCTCTCTCAGCCCCACCTACCCCACAAGGGGAGAGGAAGGGAAGGTGATTGTAAGCCGCTCCAAGATTCTTTCCGGTAGTGAAGAGTGGAGTATAAAAACTAACTACTACTACTACTCTTCTTCTTCTTTCATGTGGTTTCAAAAACAGCCTGGGAATTAGTGTTATGTGTGGCAGACACGCATTGCTTATGTGATCATATATCCAGTTTATGCATATTTAACTCTCCTCCTGGTTAATTACTATCCAAACGATGTAGCCAAGTAGACTGATTATGTAAAACCTCCCACAAACAGGTCTTCTTTTGTTCTGAAAGGGATGGTACCTGGTCTAAGGAAGAGTCATGCAAGTCTGGCTTTCTGAATTTGTTCTCGCTCCGAGTGTCAGTCTCTGAACCCATCCAAGACAATACTGCAGCTGAAAACGTAAAGTTTAAATGCACCGATGGAACTGAGCTGGAAGGCAGTGGACACGCATGGGGTGAATATGGTGCATGGAGTGAGTCCTGCCAACAAGGCGGCATTTGTGGGATCCAGACCAAGGTGGATATAGTGCCGAAACACAACGCAGTGGATCCCACTGGTCTCCAAAATGTAAAGTTTTTCTGTTGCAGCTAAATAGCAGCAGCTCCTCCATTTGTGGGGCTCTAGAGATGTCACTGCTGGCTCCTGATTGCCTGGATTCATTCTGCATCGTATATGTGGTGGAAATAGGGTTGCCAGACTCCAGGTGACGGCTGGAGATCTCCTGGTATTTCAACTGTTCTCCAGGTATAACACAGTGTTGGACTGGATGGGCCATTGGCCTGATCCAGCATGGCTTTTCTCTTTTGACATCAATAAGGAATTGGTTGGGGAAATGTTGGTTTATTATGCTATGGACAGAATCCCAGCATACATGACTTGGTGGGGAAGAAATCTGTTCACAAAACGGATCTATTCAAAACTGGCAGTTTTCCATAAAGGATCTATTCAAAAAGGGCAGTTTTCCATTTTATGTTGCAAAAAGTTCATACCTGGAGAAAATATGAGATTAGAGGTTTTGTCCCATGTGTCAAGTTTTCCAGTTGCAATTCCATGATATTAATATATAATTCTGTATAATTTCATATTCTGTTTCCTGTGTTTATATTTTTGTATTCGCACATAATCCCAGAACATGCGGTGCCCGAGGAAAGGGCAAAAAGCCCCCAGGTCCATTTCCACTCAGGAAAGTAGCACAGGAGGGAAGCCTGAAGCCCTTCCTCCCTTCTTGCAGCTCTGATGACCCTTCATAAGCAATAGATAGGTGCAGGGGTCATTTCGTAGAAAAAGGGGTGCAGGAGCTCATTAGCATAACTCATTAGCATAACTCATTTGCATATTCCACACCCCCTGTCACCCCCTGTCAGAAGGCAACACCCACCACTCAGGCTCCAGTGGACTGTTTTGGATTGCTAGCTATGGGGGGGGGGGACGTGCAGATCTGTCCTCACAGAGGAGGGAGAGCTTGTACCTGAATAAAACTTGTTCTTAAAGGTGCCACTGGACTGATTTGGGCGGGGGGGGGGCTCTGCGGCTTACCTGGCTGCTTCTTGCTCTGACTGAGGGCTGCTGGGAGCAGGGGGTGGGGTTTGTTGCATGTGCCCGCCCCCTGGGCTCTTTATTGCCGGAGCTCCGCTCCTGTGTGCTCCTGCAGGAAATGACCCCTGGATAGGTGTATCCCCCCCCCCAGTAGTATGTGTGACTGAGAGTCAGGTTAGGGGACACCCAACTCAGCTTGTGTCACATGTATCGTTTAGCTAAACTCTCAGGTCTACACCAGCTGTTCACCACCACCACCACACCCTACCAACCCCACCTTTTAAAGTCTGCTCTCTCAATTTGTCCTGCACCACGTATTCTGGATATGTTTATTTAATTTCCTACATAACTTCAAAATTATTGATTTTTACTGGTCATAAGGGGGTAACTATGCTGTTCATACAGGGAATGTATTTGTTGTCTATATAAATTTTAAAATGCCTTTCCTTTACCTCCTATTACTATCCACGAAAGTCAATAAAAATGAGACTTGAATTAGATTTGCTTCATCTTCAGTTTGCTCAATATTGCCTCCAATCATTTTTGTGCATATACAGACCAAAAGGTCCTAAAACCTGGGTCTGGGATTGTAAAGTGACGATTCCAGTGTTTGTGTAAACTGGAGACACCTTGTCAGAACCCACAGCCAACAATGTAGTACACACTTTCAGGAAAGGTAATACTTTTATTGAAGAGCTATAGATGCATTAACATAGTCACTGTTAAGAATGGCAGTTGCCCCTTGGACATAATAAGATATAGGGTATTTGTATGCACACACACCCCACTGCGCTGGCCAATTAGGCACCCTCCCGCGCGTGGGATAAAACTTGCTAACTGTTGCTAGCCAAAGCTGGGAACTCGTATTCTCCCACGGCTCCCTGGAAAAGGCAGACACCACAACTCCCACCTGCACATCTTTACAGATAAGTGTTTCAGCGCGAAGCACAGAAAGGAATGCAAGAGCAATTACACTGACGCTGCCTGACCATCCCAACCCCCATGGCAGCATAGCTGACACACCTGTACTCACCCCTAATTCCACCCTACCTCTTCAGCATGTTGGAATATGCAAGGTCTATAGAGCAGCCTTATGAAGAAGATCTGAACATCACCTTACAAGGGGACAGCTGAAGAACTGGTAGTTAGCACAGCTAAATTAAGGCTGCCCACAATTTCAAATTATGTCCTTGCTGTCTCCTGATTGGCTCTTCTGGAGACTTCCTGCTCCTGCAGAGCTTCCTTCTTGTTATTGTTCCACCTTCAGCAGTTAGACAAGGTAGTTAAGGCTTTCTCTCTTCTATGTTTTATAACATTTTGTTCTTCTTTAATAAACCTACTGTCTGGGGTCTGCCACCCCATACTCTGCTGGCACTCAGGCCATAACTCCCGTTGCCCTGGGAGGCATGGGCAACAAGGGCCTGTTAGAGCTGCGAGTAACCCAGCAGCCCCAACAGGAAGAGGAGGAGGACAGGCCCAGCCCCTGCTCAGGCTGTGGGGCACACTGGGGAGCCAACAGTGAGACCCAGCAGGGGACAAGGATGGAGCCAAGCTCAGAAAGGAGGCAGGGCGGACGAGGCAGCTGCCCAACCCACTGCTGAGAGAAGAGAACTGAGGATGGTCCAATGGGGGCATTGGTGGAAGAGGGGAAGGAGGTAGATTGGGAAGCTGATTTAAGCCAAGCAACTTGAGCAGGCTGGAGAGGGAGAGTGCACATCTCTCAAAGGGGAAGCAGGTAGAGAGAGGGCTCCCAAGAGCGCATGAGCTGTAAAGAGGGACAAGGGTGAGACCATGGCTTTTTTTTTGGTTGAGCAAAAGAGGTGCCAGAACTCTCAAGAGGGAAATTAAGTTTTCAGTCTGTATACTGAAAACTCATGAACTTTTAAACATTTTTAAAAGAATTTTGTCGAAGAGGTTCCAGAACTCTGTTCCAGCATGTTCCCCCAGAAAAAAACCCTTAGTGAGACTAACCCCCCCTCCAGCTATATCTGAGGCCTGCCATTCTGTCACTACTGGCTACAAAATCACATCCTGGAGACCCCAAATCCTCAAGCGATCACCCCAAAGGAGCCAGGACCTGACACCTACTTATTTTTTCTCTAAACAGACAGTGCTGCACTTCCTTGCATATTTAAACTCTGCCAACAGGGTTCTGGGCCCACTGTGAGCACCACTGTAAAAAGGGAAAGTTTAGTCAAATTGGTAGGAAGAAGAAACTGCAAAATGGCTGCTTTCTACACAGCTCAGCACAGCTACCTACTAGATAGACTGACAGATGACAATTATCTTGTTTGGAAGGAGAGTATGAAGAGCCATTTACTCAAGATGAGACACTGATACGTTATTACAGACTCAAGGCCTGAAGAAGAGCTCAGAAGAGCAGAAATCCTGGGATAAGCACAATGAAAAAGCAAGAGGTACTCTGATACAGGCTTTGTCAGATAGAGACGTTCTGAGAGCTATTCAGATGCAGACGGCAAATGCAGTCTGGAATGAACTTGAAAGATTGTATGTTAATTCTTCTCTAAAGAGCCAATTATATATTCAAAAGAAACTGTTTAGTGCAAGAATGCCTAAAAAGGACAATTTGAGAGAGCACCCATACTTGCTCTGAGTCATGAGCTAAAGAGTGCTGGCAAAGAAATTGCAGATCAGGACTTGGCTGTTTTGATTTTGTGTAGTCTACCAAAAAATTATGCCAGATTGAATTGGTTAGTCTACCAAAAAGTTATGACAGATTAAATCAAAAGGAATCCCCTCTATTTCAAATGTAATTAATGAACTAGAACAGGCATTCAAATGGTTTGAGGAACCTAACAGAAAAGCTGAACACAATTCTGACCAGATGGCTTTATAAGTAAATCATAAAAGTAAATTAACTTTTTACTCATGTGAAAGACAAGGGCATATTAAAAAGGGCTGCAATGCTTTCAAACAGAGGGGTGTCCCTTCAAAACAAACAAGAAGGGAGAATTTGAAACAACCACCCCTAAAAAGTGCAGGATCTGGAATCATAAAGTGCAGCCTCCCAAATGGACAGATCAGATAAATTATTGTTGAGACTGTTTATATATACAACAACTAGCAAATAATTTAATCTCAGTGAAAATTCTTGCAAAAAGAGGAATGGTAACCTCATTTGGGGATAAATATCTGATTAAACAAAATGGAGAACTCATTGCAACAGGCAGAGTGCATGAAGACTTGTATGCTTTAGACATATGCACACAAAGTGCAAACTTGACCAAGAGCTGCAACCATAAGAAATGCTCCTGGATGTGGCACAGGAGATTAGGCCACAGAGACAACAATGAGAGACTAGAGAACCAAAACTTAATAAAAGGCATATAAATAAATGAATGTACAATTGATAAGGATTGCATGTATTTTTTTAGCAAACATCATGAACCAAGCCAAGCAAAGCGCCCTCTAGAGCTCATTCACAGTGATGTTTGTGGTCCATTGAGAACTGCAACCAATGTTCCTTCTAAGCTGAGTTAGTGTGAGCTAGCTCACAGATTTTTAGCCTCCAGCTCACAGATTTTTGTCTTAGCTCAGGAAGGATGGCTCCAGAGCAAGCTAATGTATGCAGTATCCAAATCACTCACTCACAACTTTAATGCCAGCAGCTCACAAAGTAGAACATTTGCTCACAAGACTCCACAGCTTAGAGGGAACATCGACTGCAACCTCAGTGGAAATAAATATATCTTAACCTTCATTGACGATTTCTCCAAATATACAGTTACAAAACATTTCTTATACCAAAATGCTCAGGAAAATGTGTTCTATAACATTTTTAAAAATCCAAAAATTGCCCCCCCCAAAATCTCCCACCTTTTTATTTTTTCCTTTGATCTTTCATTCTCTTTTATATAAAATAACTCATGAAAGAATACTTTTGAGTAAGCACATTTTAATGTACATTTTGGTGTACAAGGAATAATTCTATCCCTTTTGCCACAGCAACAGAAAACCAAGAAGAGTTCAGTCAGACATTTGGTCTTTATTACAGGCCACAAGCCATAGTGAAGCAGAAAAAAAACACTGGTATTAAATCAATTCATTAGAACATTGTTTATTTGAATGTGCCCTGTTTATTTCAATAAGGAAGCGCTGGATCTCCCCTTTTATATGTGATATGCAATGTTACCTTCTTCACAAAGGATTGCTAAATTATTGTCAGTAGTAATGTCAGTGTTATGCCAGGATAACTATGATAAAGCCTATCTGGGGGTCACAGGTGCCTCATTTCTAACTGCCTTAATGACTACCATTCTTTTCCTAGAAAGGTAAGTACACTAACTCAATATTCCCTGAGGCCCCTGATAACTTGATGGAATAGGTCAAGCTCAGTGGTAGAGCACCTGCTTTGTACATAGACATGGTGATTCTTCTAAAAAGTTTTGTTTGAGGTCTTGAAGACTGGGACAGGTGGTTTTGCTTGGTTTCAGACAGTGTCAGTATGAGAAACTTCATTCTCCAGACTCTTTCAACCCAAAACTCAGTATATGACATTCTCTAACCTACTGTTCTTAGGCAGTTTTAGAGGAGGAAGAGCATAAACAAATATATCAATTATAGTACAGTGATCCCCAACTTGGTCTCCTTATGGCCATTTCCTTCTTACCAAACAAAGGGCCAATACGTCATCCCATAAAACAGAGAGGTCTCTTGATATTACATTTTTATTGTATTTTTATTGAACAATTCCATTAAAATGATGTTGGAGTCAGATACTAATGAAACCAAATGGAGAAGATAGAGCGAGAATGAAGTCAGAAAGCCAGCCTTGCATGAGTGTTCATCAGACCAGCTTCCATCCCTTTCAGAACAACAAAAAAACCATTTTTAGGATGTTAATACACTATGGCTGTGGTTACACGGCAAGGCAATTGCGCTTTGTTCTCGATGTAATTAACACCGGAATATTTTCCACCCGAGTTGGGATGTTCACACATCCCTCCCTGAGCTGCAAGCTCACCTTCCCTGCCTGCCCACCTCCCCTCCCCCAGCAACTTTCCAGCCACCGGCCCGATGAAAAGAAAAGGAAAAGGCACCTTTAAGAAAAGGAAAAGGCACCTTTGAAAGAGTTCTCCTTTCCGCCCGATGCTGCTGGCTAGCTGGGCACGCTCCCTGACCTCAGGTGCTCCCTCCCTCCTAACGCCGCTGCAGCTTCGGGAACTCCTGGGGGGGGATGCCAAAGCCCGCTCGCCTGACAGCCCACCCACCCCCTTCCTCCCTCAGAAACGTTCAACACTGCCTCCATGCCGGGGGACGGTGGGCAGGAATTTTCTCCAAGCAGGATGAGCGCTTGTTTACTCAAGCGCCCAGCAGGAAGGTGCATGGCGCGAGCCGCTCATGCTGCTCCGGCGCCGTCTCCGCCACCTGCTTGCCACCCCCATCCAAGCTGCCGGAGCCCCCACCTCTCGTTCCTGCCTCCACGGATGCTGTAAACACTGACATTATTTTTTTAAAAAAAATTCACTTCTTAAGCAAATGCCTGCCCATGCACTCAAACCGGAAGCTTTAAAAAAAAAAAACACTTCAGAGAGTGGTCAGACGGCCCTATTCGCAATCATTGCGAAAGAGGGCTGTTCACATAGGTGAAATCGCGCGTTCAAAGTGCGGGATCCAGGAAAGTACTTGATTTTCCCGGGGTCAGGAAAACCCACGAGTATTGCGCGAGTGAGCCTGCTTTGATGCGGGAGGCGGATTGGCGCGTGTAAACAGAAACTTAAAATGCGGAAGGAAACAGCAGCGAATCCCGAACAAAGGGCCAGTGTGAACGCAGCCTATCAGTGGCAATCAGTTTCTGCCTGTCTAAATTGTTTTGATAGTAATCAAGAGGGGTAGGGTAAACACACATATGTTGGAGATATGATTGCATAAGTGGCGTCTGTGTCGGCCACACATAGCAATTATCCCCAACCTGTAAAAACTTGTGTCTGCTCATTCCTGCCAATCCAGTTGCTGTTATAAAATATGAAAGCTTTGGCCCTGAACTTCTTAACCTCCTAATGGATCTCCACAGAAATATACACAGATTGCATTTGGAGATAATTTGCAGCCCCAAGCCAATTTACCAATGAATCTATTGGTTAAAAAATTTTCATTGCTTTTTGTTTGTTTGTAGTGTCAGAAGTCATTGTGTTTCACCATATTAAAACATCCAAAGCCTGAAAACATACTTGGACATGAGGCAGAATGCTTCTTTCGTGTATATTCACCTCTCTCCTCCAGTTTGGTGTAGTGGTTAAGTGCGCGGACTCTAATCTGGGAGAACCGGGTTCGATTCCCCACTCCTCCGCTTGCACCTGGCTGGATGACCTTGGGCAAGCCGTAGTTCTGATAACAGCTATTCTTGAAAAGAGCAGTTTCTGTCAAGAGGTCTCTCAGCCCCACCTACCTCACAGGGTGTCTGTTGTGGGGAGAGGGAGGAAAAGGAGTGTGTAAGCCACTGAGACACCTTTGGGTAGTGAAGGGCAGGGTATAAATCCAATCTCTTCTCTTCTTATTCTCTCCTCTTTTGCATATTGGATAACTCACACCAGCATGGTTCCTTTGCAACACTATGTTTTTTATTGTTTTGAGTGTAAGCCATTGGACAAGTAACAAGTTTTCATGGATTTTGAAGAAAACATCTACAATTAATAATTTCAACAGTGTAGGTATTTGCAAGATCACCTCCTGCTCAAAATGTGCACAGTTTGTTCCATCTCGTGGATTGCCACCCAAACCTGCCAAGAAAGAGCGGGTTTGGGTGGTGATTTTTAAAAATTTGTATGCCAACATTTGAACATTAGGTATTGGAGGGTGCCTTCACTAAAATACAAGTTCAGTCCCATTGGGAGGCCTGACACCACCAGCCAGTCATTGTGTTCCTTACCATTCCTTCACTTATACTCGAGAGCAGATTCTAGCACATCCCTGAGTGCCACTTTCAAATTCATCTTGCAGTGTGTGTAGCTATCCTGAAAACATGCAATTGTAGGAAACAAGCTGTTGTGAACTGTCTACTGATGCAAGTCAGGAAAAGGAATTCAAAATTGGGGAGGGGGGGAGCCAATGAGAGAGAACGCTCAAACGTGGGAAAAGAGGCAACCAAAAGGGGTGAAATGTACACCAGGTACAACTCTCAGGTGGTGAGCAGGGAATGTACTTGTAAGGGGATTTCTCAGCCCCTTGAGGTTGCTGAAGTGCTACAACACTTCAGTGCATGCACAAAAAGGGGGGGGAACCAATACACAATGTGAATGTGAACAGATGAAACACTGATGGGGAAAAATGAAGAAAACATGTGAGTGTGCATTGATCTCACCAACAGTATGATCATCAGAGCTGCCACAACACTGACAAAAATCCAGAAGACAGCTGCAGTCTGGAAAATGCCACATATGTAAGTCCTGAACAAATAGCAAGCCAATTTATAGCAACCCCAGCAAGTGGTTTTCAAGGCCAGTGAAAAGCAGAGGTGGTTTGCTGTTGCATTCCTCTTCAGAGTCTTCCTTGTTGATCTCCCATCCAAGCGCTGACTCTACTTGTAGTGTTGCCAACCTCCAGGTAGCACCTGGAGATTTCCAGCTAGTACAATTAATCTCCAGATAACCAAGATCAGTTCCCCTGGAGAAAATGGCTGCTTTGGAAGGTGGACTCTATGGCATTACACCTGGCTGGGGTCCCTCCCCTCCCCTCCCCAAACCCTTCCCTCCCTAGGGTCCACCCCGAAAATCTCCAGGTATTTCCCAACCCAGAGGTGGCAACCCTACATGCTTGGCTTCCAAGATTTGACTAGATTGGGCTATATCACACTGCCTTCGCTCCCAGGATCTATAATAGATACTATTTATGTAGGAAATCTTTATGCTGCTTCTCCAACATCCCACTTGAGGAAGCTTACACAGAAAACTGATCCATTATATATTGCATTTTTATACTGCCACTCCTTCTAGGAGATCAGCATGGCATGCATATCTTTGGGACCACCTCTCCCAATATGCCCCTGGTGGTCCCCAGTCCGAGAGAGATCCGCCTGTCCTCGACTAGGACCAGGGCTTTTTCAGCCCTGGCCCCCACCTGGTGGAACTCTCTGCCTGAGAACATCCATGCCCTACGGGATCTACTACCTTTCTGTAGGGCTTGCAAGGCAAAGATGTTAAGAATATAAGAGAAGCCAATGTTGGATCAGGCCAGTGGCCCATCCACCCCAACACTCTGTCACACAGTGGCCAAAAATACCAGGTGCCATCAGGAGGTCCAGCAGTGGGGCCAGGACACTAGAAGCTCTCCCACTGTTGCCTCCCCCAAGTGCCAAGAATACAGTGCATCACTTGCCCCAGACCAAGAGTTCCTATAGATACCTTGTGGCTATTAGCCACTGATGGACCTCTGCTCCATATGTTTATTCAATTCCCTCTTGAAGCCGTCCATGCTTGTAGCTGCCACCACCTTCTGTGGCACTGAATTCCATGTGTTAAACACTCTTTGGGTGAAGAAATGTTCCGCCAGGCATTTGGTTGAGGTCAGCAACCATCTGGCACTCTCACACTCCCCCCCACCCCCCTTTTCTCCATATTTCCCTTCCATCTAGGGGGAAGTGGATACTGAAATTATCCATCATCTTTGTTGTGTTTCCCACTACACAATAATCTTGGACACAGTTTTCTGATGAATAGTTTTAATGTATCTTAATGTTGTTATAATTTTTTTTACATATTGTATTTGCCTTTGATGAAAGTCGCCCTCAGCCCTGTTTCAGGGAAGGGAAGCATAGCAAAGTGAATGAAATAAAATAAATAAATAATAGTTCTCCCCTCCTCCATTTTAGCATGACAAAGACCCTGGAGATTAGGCTGAGAGAGTGAGTAACCCAAGGACGCTCAGTAAGTTTCATTTGAATGGAATCTCCAAATTCATGGGAAGAATACCCCAGAAAACCAGTTGCTGGGGTCACGTAAGAAGAAAAACTAGTTGTTTGTGGACTTCCTGGAATCATCCGGCTGTCAAGTCGTGGATGCAATCACCCTCACAAACACTCTTGTAGCAGCAAGATTTGTTTAATAAAAGGTAGAGAGGTTCCAAGAGTAGATAGCTTCTGTGTCAGAACTGGGTCCCAGATGCCAGTTTCACCAATATACTGAAAGCAAAAATTCCACACATGCCAAGTGACCAATCATTGCTCCCATTTGACCCGCCATACATCTGCTCCTGCCCTTACGGCCACCCCTAACACCTTCAAGCTAACGGTTACATTATCTAGAAGCTCCCCAGACTACAAGGTCACGCAGTACGATTTATTTATTTATTTTCATTGCATTTATACCCCACCCTTCCCGCGAACGGGCTCATATACTTCCCAAGGTGTTCTCAACATACTCGGGAGGCTCCTGTGTGAGAACTGTTATGAGCTGGCACTAACCAAGCAAAGCAGACAGCCGTACCCATCCACTCCCCCCACCCCAGTTCCCAGCAGAAATGATAAACAGCAATGAGAGCAAGGTTGCATGCAACATAGGAACTGTATAAGAATACCTGTGAATCCATAATACAACCAATGGAATAATGAAATATGGAGCCCTAACCCCTAATGCAACAGACCATGAGTATAAGAAACAGAAAATATTTGACAAGCGAGGCCCGAGCTTGACACCAGCTGGTCACTGAATGAAACAGGAAGAGGACAGTGGCTCCTTCCTCATGACTCTTATATTCCTGGGCACAGCTGCTCTTCCTGGACTATATAGTTAATGCCACTCATCAGTCCATTATAACTGTTCTAAATATCTGTTTTACATTAATGGACTTTCATAAACTTCACTGGCTGTTAACTGTCATGTTGCATGCCCCCTTCAGTGCCTTCAAGGCAAAAATAAAAGTTAAACACCACAGTAAATTATTGCAGTGTATTAATAGAAAGGAAAACCAGAATCTTCTTTGTTCAGTGTTATTAAAAGAGGAGACATTTGTTCCATATCTGGAAAAAGATAGCAATATTTTTGATAACTTAGTAAAGATATATCAATATACACACTGAGAGAGCCAGTTTGGTGTAGTAGTTAAGTGGGTGTAGTAGTTTGGTGTAGTAGTTAACCGGGTTTGGTGTAGTAGTTAACCGGGATTCCCCACTCCTCCACTTGCACCTGTCTGGATGACCTTGGGCAAGCCGTAGCTCTGGCACAGCTGTTCTTGAAAAAGAGCAGTTTCTGTCAAGAGCTCTCTCAGCCCCACCTACCTCACAGGGTGTCTGTTGTGGGGAGGGGGAGGGAAAGGAGTTTGTAAGCCGCTCTAAGACACCTTTGGGTAGTGAAGGGTGGGGTATAAATCCAATCTCCTCTTCTTCTTCTTCTTCCTGAGAAGCCAGTGAATAAACACAGGTCCACAAAAGGAGTTCTCCTACACCCCTTCCGCAAGAGTACCATCTTAAGCAGTTACACCCTTCTAGGGCCATTGAAGTCTACGAAGTCTAATTAGGATTGCACTGAAAAGGGCTTAGAATGGCAACTAAGCCACAGGCTGGCATATCTTAAAGATACAACAGCCAGCAGCCCCACCCCCACTATGCCAGTACACCCCCACTGTGCCAGTACAGTAGCCCCCATTTTCCATACTGAAGTTTGATAGATTTCCTCTGCCGTGGCCCAGAACATTTTTTTTTTTGCCTGTGACTCCTGTCCTGGCTTTTACTCAGTGCTGTGACCTAGACTAAAATTTTGTTATTTGGCAAAATCTTTGCCAGAGACATGATAACTAGCTCTGAGCCAAGATCTGGGTGCTAGCCCGGCAGTTATTTCCCTGATTAGAACTCTGTCTCCAGTTGAAGGATATTTAGGTAGAAAAGGCATCATAATTAGGATGGTTTCACGTTTAATGTGGAATGTTGTTCTGAAACCTGCAAAAGGTGAAGTGAAAACGTATATTCTTCATGAAATGTAATGGAGTACCATCAGAAAGTGCGTGTAACATCTTGAAAATCGTCCTGTTTAGCCTTGCTTGTTTACCGTGCTGTACAAAGCCCTTTATGCTGCAATTAATTTTTCAAAGATGCATGTTGGACTCGACCACCTTCTTTTTATTTTTGTTGAAGCATACGTTTACAGAAGAACATTTCTCCTTTGGGTGGGAAAAAGGTTTAAACAGACACCAGTAATCGGGCACAGGTCAATTCAGGTGTCCTTGCTCTGGGTTGTTAAGCCTCTTCCTGTAAGGGTGTCCTCTGTAAGGCTCCGGTCACACGGACCTCTTACCGCGCTAGTTTTCCTGCAGTTCTTCTATCCGCGACGTTTTATATCACTTGGAGGTGGTCAGACGGTCCCTCTGTCTTCTGCTTCACTCGCACGAAGTACTGATTACACAGTGTGCCGTCCCCGCGGCAGCATGGGTTTTTTAAAAAAAAACCTGCGCATGAGCTTGCCTTCCCATGCGCATGGGCGAATTACATACAAACTAAAAAGACCAAAGTATAAGCTAGCGCCTCTTTGCACATGCACATAACTTAAACCAGAAACACAAAAAGGGGGGGGAGGTAGCGCGGTCACGGCGGATTGCTGTCCAGATACCAAAACCGCGGATACAAAGCGCGAGATATCGGAAAAATACCTGTTCCAACGGGTGTCAGAAAACACGGATAAAAAGAGTGGAAACTGCGGGACTCAGCCCGCTTCGGTGCGGGAGGCGGGTTTGCCAATATGAACAGGAAACTTTAATGAGCGAGGGATCAGCAGCGAAGCCCGCACTAAATGTCCGTGTGACCTGACCCTAAGACTCTGCTTCGGTGCAGAAGTGGGCAGCAACAGGGGGAGGACATGGACAGTTTGGAACTTGCCTTCCCAAATCCCTCCAATCCAGAATGCACCACTGATGCCTAATTATGCTGGTGAAAAAGTTCGAAGCAAGGCAGTGGCATAGCATGGGGGGGGGGCAGAGGGGTGGTCGCCCTGGGTGCAAAATTTCAAAAGAAAAAAAAGTAGTAATAATAAATTTAAAAATAGCGGTCCCTCCCCCCTCACACATAAATCTCCCAATGTTCGAACATTCTACACGTAACATTTTACAGTGTTCTTCTTGATAATTTCAGGAAGGCTGATATTCTAGAGGGATTGAATCCATTTGTCCTTGATGGACTAACATTGGCTTTTCCAGAGCAACTTAAGAGCTTGTAGTGCTCATGGACCTTGTCTTACTGTTTGAAAAACAGGTTGGAATGGTGGCCAAGAGTGCCTTCTATCATCTGCACGATTCACCAACTTTTTCATTACCTAGATTCAGCTGATCTGGACACATTGATCCATGCTTCTGTAACCTCCAGCTGGATTACTGTAACACACTGTTTCCGTTGAAGACACCCCAGAAACTACAATTGGTCCAGAATGCAACAGCCCAACTGCTGTCAGTGGCTAGCCTCTGGGAACATGGGTTTGCCTTTCTGAAACAGCTTCATAGGTTGCCAGCCTGTTCAATTGAAAATGCTGGTTATGACCTTTAAAGCCCTTCACAACCCACATATTTTCAGGATTGTCTCCTTTTTTTATGTCCCTGTGCACAGGGGTCATTTCGTAGAAAAAGAGCTAGGGGGACTCATTAGCATAACTCATTAGCATATGCCACACCCCCTGACATCACTGGAAGTGTGTCCTCCCCACAGCCGGCGGCGACCTCCAGCGGGCACCAGCAGGGAGCTCCAGGCCCCGCCCTCCCGCACCTCACCCGGGGGATGGCGTCCCCCCGCGTCCCCCCCCAAATGACCCCTGCCTGTGCATCAGTTATGTTTGACAGGCAGGCATCTGTTGGCTATCCCATCACTTAGGGTGGCCTGTATGGCAATGACCAGAGTCCAGGCCTTTCCAATCATGGCTGTGGAACTGACTCCCTGGAGAGGTGAGAGGAGCCCCCTCCTTGGAGATCTTCAGGGGGTTCCACAAGGCATGCTTGTTTGCCAGGCCTTTTGAGGGGAGTTGAATGGCACACGTCTTTTAAAGATTGAGGGGAGAGTGATTTGGGGCTTGATCTTTGGGTTTAGCTGGGGATGTTTTAACTATTGCTGTAAGCCACCTTGAACCAAGAGGAAAGGTGGGATATAAAAGTTTTAATACATACATACATACATACATACATACATACATACATACATGAAACTATGGTGAAATTGAGAAGCAATTGAGTCAATGGAAGATGCAGAGTGAATTCAAATAATCAGAAGACTGAGAGTGCATTTGTAGAGAAAAATGAATACAGGCTCACAGAAGACCTGCCAACTGAGCAGCTGCTATTATTTAAGTGCAACAGAAAAACTTGACATCATTGAGTCCAGTGTTATCCAGAGAAAATATTCCCTTATGGGTATCCACCTTTGTCTGGATCCCACAAATGCCAGCCTCTTCGCAGGACTTACTCCACTTGCCATATTCGCCCCATGCAAGGCCATTTCCTTCCAGTTCGCTTCCATCTGTGCACTTAAACTTGATGTTGTTGGCTGCCATATTGTCAAACAGACGTTCCTTTGACACTCGGAGCGAGAATGAAGCCAAAAAGCCAGAGGGGCAATAATGTGCATCTAACCAGGTACCATACCTTTCAGAATAAGAAAAGAAGTGTTTGTAGGAAGGCTTACACAGTCCAACAGTGGCTATCATCTTCAGCTTGGCTACCTTCTTTTGAGAGTATTAATGCGGGGCGGGGGGTAAAAACACACACTTTGGAGATCTGATCACATAAGTGGTATCTGCCGCACATAGCAGTTATCCCCAAGCTATAAAAACTTTCATCTGCTCATTCCTGAAAATCAGGTTGTTGTTAAAAGTACATGAAAGGTGGTGAGCTTGAAATGTGGCCCTATTCTTGCTAAGATTTAGTCCTTAATCTTCTAATGGACCTCTGCAAAAATATACACAGATTGTATATACACAGATTGCATTTGGGGGGTATATTACAACTCCGAGAATTTAGTGGTAAAAATGTCCTGTAATTTTTTGCTTGTGGTGTCAGAGGTCATTGTGTTTCACCATAGCAAAAACATCCAGAGCTGGAAAACACACCTAGACATGAGTCTCTGCCCCACAAAACAATCCCAGGGGTTGCCAGAGAATGTCAGCTGACTCTAAGGCTGTGGTCACATGGCAAGCTAATTGCGATTTGTTCCCGCTATAAATTTGATCAGGAATATTTTTTTTCAGGTTGGGATGATCACACATCCCTCCCCGAACCGCAAGCATTGCGCAATGAGGCTCTGGGCACTGTCTCAATGCAGCCGGCCCCTGTGTCTCTCTCCACTGCCCGCTCGCCTGCCAGCCCACCTGGCACTTCCTTCCCTGCCCGCCCCCCTGCCTCCCCCCCCCCCGCACGTTTC